CGTCCTCGCGCCGTTTTCTGGAGGGAGTCGAATCAAGCGGGCCGGTTAGCGCGCGCCGCGGCTTGAAACAGGCAACGGGCGGAGCGGCGCGTACCTGCGCAGGCGTCATCGGCAGCTTCGACCGGGGACGCGCCGCCAAGACCGGGGCTGCTGGGAAAGCAACGCTTTGAGGCACCGGCAAGGCTCGAGATGAAATTCCGTGACACCGCGCTCGTAGCCACCGGTCGCTCGGCGCTAATAACGTTCAACTTCGGCGGCGCTGGGCCGCGACCGCGGATAAAGCGGACGTCGAAACGGGACGCGGACGGGTCGCTACTTACGCCGCGGCTGCCGAGACGCGATCGGCCGGCGGCGGGCCGGCGGCAGAAGCGATGGTCTTTTCCAGAAAGTCCTTCCAGCTGAAACACAAACGCGCGTCAATGCACACACTCTTTTTCTTGGACACCTTTTGCCCGTTTTGCTCTGCCTGACGCTGATTCGGGACGGAACGACACCGCCGGGCACTGGACGGCGGCATACGGATGAGGCTCGCCGCTGTCACTTTGAAAGAAGCGTCGAGTCGCCGGACTTGAAACTCGGCCCGCTTTTGGCGGAAGATGAGCCAATGAGAAATCCCGCTTTTGACGCCGACGGCCGCCGCTCGATTTTGACAGCCGACGTCTCGGGGCAGGACGGCTGATGCGCACCGGGAGATGACGCGTTTGTTCATTTGGACAACCAAAAGCCAAAACGCTGTCAGAATGTACAATTGCTTTGCCACATCTGTCGCTTTCTCCCAACGGGTCTCCCTTCATTTCGAGGCCTTGAAAATGTGCCGAGGGAGTATTTGAATGGGATGTTTCGCTATTGCGGATCTCACGTCTTGTGACGAGGAAAAAGAAACGAGCCATTTTGATACCGTTGGACGCGTCGGCGGAAGCGACCTGCGGTGCGGCTCTTTGCATCCGGGCCCGTCTTTGTTGTTCAAAAATACACAGGAAGAAGACCTTGACAAAAGATTGGCATATTTCATCGCAATATTGAAAAAAAATATATCGATCTTTCAATTCCATCCATTTCCAATCAGCTTCACCATTTGACCCGCAGTGTGAGCATCGCCCAAGTTGTGTGGGGGGGGAAGGAGAAAGAAGAGCTCACGTGTTTTTCTCCGACGCGGTCCCCGCCACCAGCTCGTAGATCTGCGTTTCTTTGGTGCTGATGACGTAGAGCGCTTTGTTGTCTGCGCGGGAGGGGGAAGGAGGAGCGGCGTCAGGCGGGGCGGCGTCAGGCGGCGCCTTGACGCCGAGCGAGCTCACCTGTGGCGACCGGGCGCACCAGCAGCGAGTCCAGGCGGACCAGCGGGCTGTCGCCGCCGGCGCCCGGCCAGCGGGACGGGTGACGCAGCGACAGGCGCTCGTCGGGGCCGCGCTGCAGCAGCAGCAGGCAGTCGGACAGCAGCAGCGCCTGGATGTCTGGTGGCGGCGGGCGACATTATTGGCCGCTGGAGCGGCTGCTCTTCAGGGCCGCCGATAGCCACGTACGGGCCTCAAAGGCAACAACCTCTTAGGTCACCCGATGAAACGCAATGTCTGGAGGCATGTTTTGTGTGTGTGTTTGCTTTTTTAATCGTTTTACGGTGGCTACATACATCGATATAGCTCCATATAAAATGCACCGTGGGTAATATTAGCGTGTCGCTAGCAAAATCCATCCATTTATTTGCCGACTCAATTTGGATGCTCTGATGACTTTGTGCAGTCTGGCATTTTGTGCAGTTGCTCCCCTTACACAATGACCGCAAAAGGCATTCTTCTTCTTCTTCCTCATTGAATTCATCAGGTCAATTTTTTCCGTTGAATGCAGAACTCATTTAGCTGTGCGGACGACACGGGATGCCTACTTTGGACCATTTTTCACATTGTGGTTCCGCAAACAAGTCGCAGCTTCAATTGGAGTGAGTTCACCAAACGGCCGGTGAGACCAGAACCGTTTGAAAGAGAGAGAGAAAAATAAAACGGCGTTGATCGTAACACGCGGCGCATCCAAAGCACTCGCTGGATTCGGCATTGATGAACGGGTGTGGAAAAACGTGGGCCTGAACCTAAAACGCACAGAACTCTCGGATCGCTCAAATCTATTTTCCCCGCCGAGAGCCAACGTTTCATGGTCAATTCAGCTCCCTTTTCGGTACCAGGATATGGCGCCGACAGAGGTGCGGGTTGTTCTCTACTGACCCAACTGCTTGTCCTTGCTGACTTTCCAGACCAGCGGGCCCTCGTGGATCATCTTCTTGGTGCTCAGGTCCAGACCCTGCCGGCAAGCGAAACATTCACACGTTAGCACCGACTTGAGGGCGAACAATTGGTTCTGTTTTCATTTCCGGACGTCGAAAGTCAGGCTTCCCAATGAAATGAATGGAAAGGGAAGCCATTGGTTTCCGGCTCCAGAACGGAGTTGCCTCCATGGGTTCAATTGAAAAGAAACTTTTGTTTGGTTTTTATTTTTTTTTTCCTGAACAGAAAGAAAGGCGGCGAGCCCCGGACACGCCGGGACAGTCGTCGCGCCATTACCTTGAACTGCGGCGCGACGTCCAGTCTGCGTTGGTACTTGCTCAGGTGGTGGTGGTGTTCCGTCTCCCTGACCACCTCATTGACCGCTTGCAAGATTCCACGGCAACAGGCCTGAGCCCGCCGCAGGGCGGGAAGGTCGGACGAGGACACTTGGTAGGGAAGGGGAGGGGGGGGGGAATAATTACATTTCAAAAAAAGGCACGTGCGTGTGTGTGATCGGCGATCCCGAGCGCTCACCCTCGCTGTGCTTGATGATGTTGTCCAGAAGAAGCGGGTACTTGGTCAACCTCTGCATTTCGGACACCAGCAGGTCTCGAAGCTGCAGGCGGCGACAGCGGCGACTGGCCTCGCACTCCTGCACCGATCGGCGTGGTCAAGCAAAGCGCGGCCGCCGTCGCGCACGTACGCTACGGTACCTGCACCACGTGGGCGAAGCGAGGCTCTTTGCGCTGTTTGCTCTTGATCAGCTCCAGCGCCCGAGACTGCTGCCTGCACAACTGCGACGCCTGCTGCTCAAACTCCTCGCCGGCGGCGCCGTCGAACTGGACGTCGGCACGAGTGTGTGCGCCCATGCACGCACGCATGCACACACACATACCGCAAGTGAGTTTGGGAGGGGTCGATATTTGAATTCTTGCAATTCAGTTTTAGAGCAGGTTTGTTTGTTTCACGTTTGCCCAAATTTTTGATCACTTTTAGTCAAGTTCACTGAATCAAGTCCAACTCTCATGTGACGATTTGACCTTCCTTCTTCTGTCCGGGCGTTTTTAAGATCAAGCCCCCAAAGCTCCCGTCCGTGAGGGACATTTCTGCTGGAATTGCAGTTTGATTTGATTTCACGATGGTTCGTTTTGGTGACCTCCACAGAACTTCTTTCCGTCCGCCGTCACTAAAGTAGCGGCTCCAAACCGCGCCGCTTCACAGCCGTCTGCCTATTTTGGCGCTCTTTGCAAAATCCCGCAGGAGGGCCGGCGGCCGACAGCCGGCGGCCCGCGACGCCAACATCGGTCGAGATGACATTATAGCGGAAGATTTCCATTGTGGAAGTGTTGCAGAAAACTTTCTGGACATTGACCGCAAACGTTCAAGCCCTTAGAAACTCCCATTCATGAACGTGGCGATTGCTATTTGTCGAGGTTGCCATACACGGACGGCTCTCTCGGTCGATCCTCGCTTTTTGTTTGCTTTTTTTTTTTCATGTCTCCTGGTGATGGTGAAAGTGCGAAATGAATTTCGTTGCTCTCCGCAAGTCCACTCACCCTTGCCAACATGACATCACCGATGTCTCGAACGATGCCAGACTCTCGCCGCTTCTTCATGGCCTCGCACAGACTGGCTGCGGGGGCGGGAATAGCGACACGTGATTCGTCTAAATGTTAAAGCTGGCGGCTCACGGCGGGCGGACGCACCGTGCAGCTCGTAGACCTGCGGCAGGTTGGGAAAGATGCAGGCCAGCTCGTCGGCGCTGAGCACGGCTCTCATCTTCTGGAAGAAGACCTGGTCCAGGACTCGGAGCGTGCGGAGGTGCGACGCCTCGGTTGTGAAGAGCTCTGCCGGCGACAAAAGCCACGATGACGAGACAACCGTCACCCTTGACAGCAGGGCTGACTTGTTTGGGTTTTTTTTTTTCCCCCTCAATATTGCGATTCCACAAGCAATTCTTTTCTCCGGGACGGTCTTCCCGTGTATTTTTTATCAGTACAACGGTCATGTCGGGTGGATGAATCGTTTTGGTTTGATCGATTTGTCTGACGCTAAAGCAAAGGCAAATGAACACGAAAGAGCGGCCATTTAGCCGCTTCGCTAACAGTTGCGAACTTCGGAAACATTGGGACGCGCAGACGTTTTGAAGCATTCGCAAAATTCGACCAAAAGGGGGCTCCTCATGGTGGAAATACTTGCGGGCCGTGGGATTGGTGTGGTCGTGTTGACCTAACGGAGGTCGGGAAAGGCTGCGCTCGATACAAACTGCCAGCGGCATTGAAAGATAGCCGGAGGCTATTTGCGGCCATCGCCGCGCGTCATTCCTTCCGCGGCAAAGAGCGGTCGGACTCGCACCGTAGATGACCGCCTGGCGCTCCGCCTCCCTGGGGCCCAGCGCGGCCAAGAGCTGCGGCGGCAACGTCTCCTGCCAGTGGGGGGCCTCGCGCGCCTCCTCCTCCTCCTCCTCCTCGAGGGCGTCGGTGTCCGGCGGCAGGGTCGGCGGCGACTCCGCGCTCCTGCGTGCGCGCATTCGGATGGACACGGCGACTGATGTCATCACTCACCTGCCGGGCACCGACAAACCGGCGAGGGATGGCGGCGAGCGTCACCTGCGGATGGAGCGCGGCGTGTGCGGCGGCGTGGGCTTCTCCGGAGACCTGAGCGGGAAAAGGGGAGACAAAGTGAGGCACGGCCCATACTGGGCAGACGCGGCGGAAACGCCGCCCGACCTGGCGGCGCCGCGCCGGGATCCGAAGGCCGGCCTTTCCCTCTCCTCAGCGGGGTCCTCCATGTCCACGTCGCTGCGAGAGCGGGGAACGGAGCGGCCGCACGAAGCCGCGCCGCGCCGCCGCCCTTCCCCCTGAGCCTTCAAAGACTCGCTGCGCGCCAGCCGCAGCGAGGCGCCGGGGCTGCAAGCATCCCACCTGTCGGCGCCGTCTTCCGACGAGGTCGTCCGCGGGTCGCCGCCGTCCTCCGAGTGGCTCTCGAAGCGCTCGATGATGTTCCTGACGCTTCCTGGACGCACTGCGCACACGCGGGTGCAAAGGCAGACGCGCGCAAAGCTGCGGTTGCTCGGCAAGTAGGATGAAGGCCAACGAAAGGGCCGAGACCCAAAAAGCAGATGAACTCCAGAGCGGGAAACGTGGAGGCGCAGCGCGAGAGACGGGAAGTAGGGCTGGGGGCGCAAAGCGCAGACAGAGAGGTGCTTGAAAAGCGCAAGCGGCGTTGCCAAATCAGTCACGGCGGATTTCGTTTCCACAAACGGCACCAAGACGCCTTGGCAACTTTGCGCTTCCGAGTGGCAAGTACGTACGGGGTTGTTGAGATCGACGGGCCGAGCTACACGGACGCATCTTGAATGCTTAAAATTGCGGGAGGGGGCGGGGCACGTGGATTTTGGTTTTCGGCCGTTATTTGGCCGAATCAAATTCCAATTGGCCAACGAATTCATTTCATTTGAAATCTCCATCGAGATATGGATGACAAGTGACCGTTTTCCAAGACTTTGCCCGTAACTTTCCACCAGAGAGAAAAGGCGGCAAACTTGATGGGAGCGGGGCGGATGCTTTTATTGATCGCGTGTTGTCATTTGTTCCAAATGAAAAAAAAGGGGCCAAATTTAAACGGGCGGACGATTAATCGGCCAGGCACGACTTCTAATGTTCATTTTGAAAACATCGGTCGAGACATTTTTTTCTATTCCTGGAAATGGTTTCAATGCTTGTTTGGGAGCATGTCACTGCCCCCCCCCCCCCCGGTTTTCTTTTTTTTTTTTTTTTCAGAAAAGGACGCTCAGTTTGACAGCAGTACTAGTTTTTGTCTCAATGTGTTTATCGGTTTAAAATAAACAGGAATATCATGTTGTAGAAATATTCTTTGTATTTTCTCTGAGAGGCCGGCAATATAAGGTACACAGACACCCCTTCTCTTCTTTTCTCTCTGTTGGTTGGTTTCCTCTCTGTTTGTTTTAATTTTCCTAACTTTTTTAAAGGAAGCGATTTTTGTTAAAAAATTTTCACCCTCTCTGAACCGTGAAGGAGGTATCAGATTTAACCTGTCTCCTATTTACAATAACTTGTTGACCAGTAAGGGACATAGACATGCTGATCAGGCTAACTGAAAGTAGCTATTCAGCCTTAGCCCAAACAATAGGCCTAATCAAGACCCAATGATAGGGAGTTTAGAAACCAATGGGCCTCTTCACCATAGGGGCGTGACTAACCATCCCCACCCAGTCCTCAAACAGGCCACGCTCAGCCTTTTAGCGCAGAGCAACTTCCCGGAGTCTTCACGGAGACTTCAGGGTTGTCTACCGCTGACGAAGCTTCTGTGAGAGAAGCGAAACGTCCTTTTTTGTTTTTTTTTGTTTTTTGTTTTTTACCCACAGGTACAGATGACGACTGACAGAACCCTTTCTACGATGGAACTTTCCTGTACGACTGAGAGCCTCCACAAGCATTTTCTTTTTATCGCAAAAGGACCGCTCATTTGAACGCAAGAGATTTGATTTTTGGGCACGACGGGCGGGAAGGAGGACAGGTAGTGAGGACAAGAGGGCAAAAAGTACCTTGGGCGGGGGACGACGGGACGTGGAAAGCTACCAAAGCAAAAAGAAGCCAACAGAGAGCACACCGTGAGAAAATGAAATCCAACTCATCCGCAAGAGTCGTCAATCAAGATGTCGGCGGGCTTGTGCGCCTACTGGACTGAGATGCGCTCCGAGGTTTGCCGATGTACTTCAGGATGGGATTCCTCTTTCTGTCCTCGGCCTCTTTGTCCTTCTTGGCGCCGCTCGGCTGAGGAGACCGCGTCGGGCATGAAGCGGAGGCGGCGGCGCGCGCCGGCGGCGGCGACGCTCGTTACCTTTTTGGCCTTGAGAAAGGTCAGCCACTTTTCCTTGTCGGTGCTCAAACCGGGGAAGGCCTTGGAGTCCCGCGGCTTGACGCCGGCATGTCGGAGGTAAAGAAGCACGGCCGCCGCCAGCGGGGAGCTGGGCAGAGAGGGGCCCATGAACACCAGCAAGAATGGGCTGGGGGACTTTGCCGCCCCGTTTACCTTCTGTCCTCTTCGTGCTTGCACCTGCGGCAAAGGCGGACGATGAGAAGCCTTTCTTATTGGGGGGGGGAAAACAGAAGTGCCTGACGTACCTGTAGTCCACAAGTTGGTCCTGGACGTGGGGCAGCACCCGCCGCTGCAGCTCCGACAGCGGCCGGCGGATGTCCTCCTGGGCGTGGAAGCGGCTCTCTGTTCGGGGAGAAAACGCACTCATGCGCCGAGGGGACGCGCCGGCGCGCCGCGAGACAACAGGACAGCCTCGCCTCCTCCTTACCGATGTCCGCGAGGTCGTCTTCTGGTACTTGGAGCTTCAAGGGCTGAAACGTCATCAAAGGCGGCCTTGAGCGGTGAGCGAGACTGATCGTTTTGATGAAGTCAAATGCGTCAGGAGGACTTGATGACTTCATTGTCTTTTTTTTGGGGGGGCACGGCACGTATTTCGGAGCGCCTTCAACGATGAAACGGCCCTCGCGGCGACGGTCGGCGAGATGGCGGCTGTACGTACGGCGTCCGGATGGAGGAAATGGGAGTAGATCTGCGGTGCCAGGGAGCGGGCGTCTTTGGGTGCGGCGCTCAGGTAGGCCTCCGCCGACAGGTAGAAAAGCTGCGCAAAGACGACGTCAGCGGACCGCGCGTCGGCCAAAACGTTGCGGGGGCGGCTGACCAGCGGGTTGGGGTCCAGAAGCTGCGTGAAGACGTATCTCAGGAAGATGGTCATGTGGGCGGGCCGCGACTTGAGCAGCTCCACGTCCCGGAAGGGGCCGTCCATCTGCACGGGAGGGAGGTTGGGGCGTCGGTGGCAGCAAGTCAGTTGCACACATTGACAAGCCATCCCGAACACTAGTCCCCCCCCCCTCCAAGCCGCGGACTTTCCAAGGTTCCGCCGCATTTCATGTTTGCGTACGTTTGGGGACACTTGGAGACCTGTGCCTTGAACTTCTGCATTGTTCTGAAAAGACTTACAAGGCCCCCCCCACTACCCCATCCTTGCTTGTGAATGACTGAGCAGGCAGGCCACTTTCCTCGCCAGTCATGCAACAGCCGTCCGTCCGTCCCAGCTCTTTTGGAACATTTCGCAGCCATGCAAAACCAAAGGGAATGGCTCTTGTCAACGATTCGGTCTCTATTTGCAAATCACTGTCTTCTTCATGCATAACCCGAGGCGCCAAGTTCATTGGAGTTTTAGCGGTTGTGCCTCGTTTCCTGTTGTCTCTCAATCACGTCTTGCCAACGAGGAAACGGAACCCGACAAATCTAGACTTGCGGCAACAATGAAAGAACGCAGGTAACCAAATCCAAATCATCTTACAAGACAACGAGGCACGCCCGGACAAGGCGGGAGTGGCCGGAGGGAGCCGATCAGACGAGCGACGCGGCAGGCGCGCAAACAACAAGTGGAGATGAAAAACCGAACGACCTGACAGGACATACCAACGCATCACACCAAAAGGATTTCAAGACGAGTCTCGTGAGTACAAAGTGGAGTCTTTCTGAAGTCTTGGCCAAGCAAGTCCAAAGTCGTAACATTGGCGACTGGACGCCGCATTCCGGAAGTCTGAGTGGCCAAGAACCCCGTCGCTCAAAAACGACAACCCCCCCACCGCGGAGACACAAATGCTAAAACGTCATTGACAAGAAGAAGTCATGCGACTGGAGTCCCCTGCCATGGGCGAGCCGCGACGGGAGCAGAGAAAGGCTCACCTCATCGAAGGCGTAAGCGTCCTCGTCCTCGGGCCCGATGATGCGAGCACTGCCGCTCTGCCAACACACGCGCTCGACAGTTCAGAGAGACACACAGACATGCACGATGATGATGATGATGACAGAGCTCAAGCTTTCCACTTGACGAGTACATCACAATCATTTCTTGGATGGAGGAGGGCCAAACGCCCGCAGGCTGAGAAAGCCTCTCCTCGAGATCGTGACCTGATGCAGACGTCGCCGACAGAGGACGCCGATGGCAAACGGCAAGTGGCGGGAAGCGCTCACCCAATCCGAGGAGGGCTGCGTGTCGGAGCTCCGCTGTCGGTCTTGAAGGCTCCGGAAGGAAAGCGAGGGGGACGAGCGGGGACTCTCAAAGGCCTGGGAGGGACGGCGAGGGACACGATCACAAACACGGCCGGGCGGCCGACCTACCTCCGCGTCGCCCTCGCTCGAGTCGGCCGCCGAGTGTCCTGCCGGAGGGAAGGAGAAGAGGAGGAGCCGGAGGGCTTTGAGCAGCAGTGACTACACCTCGACGCGGTTGCCCCTCACGCGACGACACGAACCTTCAACCCCCGTGACGGCGCCAGCGAGGCTTTCCGACCGCGTCCCCCCCTGGGGGCACAAGAGGGCGAAACATTTGGCGGGAGAAGAGCGGCACAACGTCGACGGCTGTCGCGCGTGGCGGCGCCGGCGGCCTCACCGCGTCCGGCAGCAGCTTGAGGCGCACTTGATGAGCTCGCCTCTTGGCGCTTTCGATTCGCTCTTCCAGAGACGGCGACGGGTTCCGCCCCCGCTCCTCCATTAAGGCCTGTAAAGCGCGGCGAAGGGACTGAGGTCGGACCCGCCGTGACGGGCGGCGTCGCCGTGCGTGGGTTTTGTTACCTGCAGCTCCATTTCTTCCTGCTGCAGCATCTTCCTGAGAATCTGAGAGGCGTGCTTCTGCACCTCCGAGTCCTAAAACACAGCACTTATGACGACCACACCAAGTGTTCCAAACGCAGCATCAAGGTCATTCGAGTTCATGGCGACTCCCAAGATGAAACATTTTCTTGAAGCAAATCAAACCAACAAATGAAAGCCAATCGCAACTCCAAAAGTGAGCGTGATTACGGCAATTGTTTTCGTCATTTCACACATGAGCTTTCACAGCTCATTTGAAATGATTTCGGTCTTGTTGCACATCTGTACAAAAGACAAAATGTCCAAGAGTTGGAGTTTACTTTCTCACACAATACGAAGTGAACGCATTTGGTTTTTCATCTTGCACTCAACCATCACTCCATATCTGAAAAAAACTACCGCTATAGCGTTCATCTTGTCGACTTGGTTAAATAAATAAGGTTGAATGTTTCCCTTTTCCTTACAATGTTCTTTTTTTTTTTTGGGTGAAGAAAAAGAAAACTCTAGACGCGGCTGACAGTTTTGGCTGTCGCTTCAGCCTTCGTCTGAGCCGTCACCGCTTCCTTGGGACGTGTCTGAAAAAACAGCCGACCGGGTCGGGGAACCTCGAAAAGAAAAGAAGGCTCCCCGACGCGCTCGAGCCTGCGCTCCAACTCCGATGAAGGCTGAAGCAACAACCGAAACCAGGTCAGAGTTTTTCTCTTCACCCCAAAAAGAACAAAAACCTCAAGATGAATCCAACGAAAAACGGATACCAAAAGGAAGAGAAACTCAAACGAAGCATTTTTGGAAAAAAACTAAATCACGAGCATGCGGCTCCAATCCAAAGTGTCCGTTTGAGGACGCAAGCGCCCCGCTAACCCGGAGTGGTTTGGGTCCCGTGATTCTCTGGGAGGGGCTGCCGCTCGGTCCTGACGGCGAAGGCGGCGCGGGTGCAGTCTCCCCGGCGGGAAGCGGTCTCTGGGCGGGATCGGCGGGCGAGGATGACGGCGAAGGGGGCGGTCCTTGGAGGGTGAGCGCGACATAGGTTCCGGCTACGTCACGACGGAGACAACGCACATCAATTGGCGAAAACACAGTTTTGCTGCCCCCCCCACGACCCCTTTCAAATTCAGTGGACTGACATTTGATGAGCTTAACCACCTCCTGATGGGACATGGAGGACACGAGCGACCCGTTCACCTGGAAGGGGACACACAGGAAGAAAGCGCTGACGAAGCTCTCGCCGCGTGCCAAAGGCGAGAGAGGGGGCGCCCCCCACCTTTATGATTCGGTCTCCTTCCCGGACTCCGGCCTTGACGGCAGCGCCGCCTGCGGGGACCAAAGAGAGGCGGAGGATCAGAGAGACGCTGACTCAGTACCGGCTGAGCTACGTGGGACTCGGGCGCGGAACGCAAATACTTGGCGACTGCACTCGAGGCGAATTTTCACATAATTGGCACCTAACGAGTCTTCCTCAATGGCGCGACTATGTGGGATTCTTTTTTTGAAGGCCAAGCGGGAACAACAGGAAAAAAAAAAAAAGCTTCTCAGCATTTGGAAAAGTGAAGGCAATTTGCAATGTGGGTATTTGAGCAAGAAACATGAAGTGATGCATGCACGTCGTTTTGACTTGGGCCGACCACATAAAACGATGCGGCGGCCCGGATCTGGCTCCCCTGCCATGAGTTTCACACCCGTGATTGATATCGATAAGTAAGTACAAAGATCAAACATAGGTACGCATTAAAAAAAAAAAAGCCTGACTGGAATGCGGCGGCCCCCCTCCCAACTGCGGCTAAATTGCACCCTTGGCCGTTTGAAAACTGCATGCCGTACTTTGCACAGGACGGGTATGACGCACCTGCTCGCACATTCTGAACCAGCTTCACCCGCTCTCCGCACACGGTGAAGCCGAAACCCAGCTGGTCCTTCTGCACCACCACGCATCTCTGGACCAGGCCGGCGCCTGGCAGAGGGATAACGTCGACGTCAAGCTGACCGCGCGGCGGCTTACGGGACCCCCGTTTCAAGCGCTGAAAGCGTGAGGAGGCGGGAAGCGGAACAAAGGGAAAGAGAGAAGAAGACGTTGAGACGCCGCAACGCGCTGAACGCCAACCTGCGTTTGAGGCTCTCTCCGGCTACTCAAGTGAAACGTTCGTTTCGACAAAGCTCTCACAGGAGAAGTCAGTCACCGAATTGATGCTTGAGGATCACCTCGGGAGCCATGAACCTGCATTTGAAACTGAAATGCTGACAATGTGCCTCGTGTGCATCCTTCACTTTCCTTCCTCTGATTAGTTGGCCTTTCCCAAACAAGCTCTGTTCTTGGTTTTGTTTTCCATCAGGTGTTTGGCCTACGGTGATCGAGAACCTCTGATGGAGGCAGCTCAGACCGGCAGGACGCTAACTTGTGTCATCATCATCTTCGCGTCAACGTGTCCATTGCGTTTGAGGCTCTCTCAAGTGAAACGTTCGTTTCGACAACGCTCTCACAGGAGAAGTCAGTCACCGAATTGACGCTTGAGGATCACCTTGGGAGCCATGAACCTGCATTTGAAACTGAAATACTGACAATGTGCCTCGTGTGCATCCTTCACTTTCCTTCCTCTGATTAGTTGGCCTTTCCCAAACAAGCTCTGTTCTTGGTTTTGTTTTCCATCAGGTGTTTGGCCTACGGTGATCGAGAACCTCTGATGGAGGCAGCTCAGACCGGCAGGACGCTAACTTGTGTCATCATCATCTTCGCGTCAACGTGTCCAGTTTAATGTGTCATCCACGTTACCTGTCGAGGGTGGAGGTTGGCTGGCGGAGACTCATGTCTTTGGGCAGCGAGCCGCCCCTCGCGCCGGCCCCG